CCAAGTTAGTTAGCAGACAGTGCAACAATGATTTCAGGAGTAGATTCCTTAATGCCCCTTACCCATTTAGCCCTTTCCCCCTCCCACAACCCCTCCAATAACTCTGTGTTCTCCATATTTAAGAGTCTCTTATGTTTTGTCCCCATCCCTGTTTTTATGTTATTTTTGCTTCCCTTCCCTTGTGTTCATCTGTTCTGTGTCTTAAAGTCGTCATATGAGTGAAGTCATATTTGTCTTTCTCTGACTAATTTCGCTTATCATAATATTCTCTAGTTCCATCCACATAGATGTAAATGGCAAGATTTCATTCTTTTTGATTACCGAGTAATACTTCATTGTATATATATACCACATCTTTATCTATTCATCTATCAATGGACATTTGAGCTCTTAGAATGAGCCCTCTTTGAAAGAAGATATCATGTGCATAGAATTTGTAAATTTTCTTAGTCATTCTGTACGAAATTAATAATTACACTAAGGGCAGAATCACATGACTATGAAGAGAACAAAAATGCCCCAGACAATATGAATATACCTGTGAGTGATCCAGATATTGGAGCTACTAACCATGACTTTAAAATGATGATTACAGGGGCGCCTGGGTGGCGCAGTCGGTTAAGCGTCCGACTTCAGCCAGGTCACAATCTCGCGGTCCGTGAGTTCGAGCCCCGCGTCGGGCTCTGGGCTGATGGCTCAGAGCCTGGAGCCTGTTTCCGATTCTGTGTCTCCCTCTCTCTCTGCCCCTCCCCCGTTCATGCTCTGTCTCTCTCTGTCGCAAAAATAAATAAACGTTGAAAAAAAAAATTTAAAAAAATAAAAATAAAAAAATAAATAAATAAAATAAAATGATGATTACAATTAAAAAACTGATAGGGATGCCTGGGTGGCTCAGTTGGTTAAGCGTCTGACTGTGGCTCAGGTCATGATCTCAGGGTTCGTGAGTTCAAGCCCTGCGTCGGGCTTTGTGCTGACAGTTCAGAGCCTGGAGCCTGCTTAGGATTCTGTGTCTCCCTTTCTCTCAGCCCCTTGCCCACTCTCATTCTGTCTCTCTCTCTCTCCCTGAAAAATACATAAACATAAAAAAAAGTTATTTTTAAAGTTCAGAAAGTGATTAATATGTTCAAATAAGTAGGAAAAAAAGATTGAGAACTTCATTAGAGAAGCAGAACATGTAAAAAGGAATTAAATTGAAATTCTAAAACTAAAAAATGCACTAATTGAATTTCAAAACTCCAGTGAAAGGATTTAACAGTAGATAAGTCACAGCAGAAGACAGGATTAATGAACTGGAGGATCATTTCCTAAAAAAATCTTGAAATGAAAACATTGGAGAAAGAATAAGAAACATTTGTTAAAAGTTTTAACATGGAATTCAAAAAGAGATAATAGGGCTTGATAAATTACTAGCCAGTTTGATCAAAAAGAAAAAGGATGGGGCGCCTGGGTGGCGCAGTCGGTTGAGCGTCCGACTTCAGCCAGGTCACGATCTCGCGGTCCGTGAGTTCGAGCCCCGCGTCGGGCTCTGGGCTGATGGCTCAGAGCCTGGAGCCTGTTTCCGATTCTGTGTCTCCCTCTCTCTCTGCCCCTCCCCCGTTCATGCTCTGTCTGTCTCTGTCCCAAAAATAAATAAACGTTGAAAAAGAAAAAGGAAAGGACCCAAATCAAGAATGAAAGAGATCACAAGCAACACAGAAGAAATAAAAGCAATAATAGAATATTATGAGCAGCTGTATGCCAATAAAATGGGCAATCTGGAAGAAATGGATAAATT